CCTATAGTGCAAAAATGGGAATCAATCTATAATATTGGCTTTACCTCTCGGAATGGGTCCCACAATAACACCTGCAGATTACGTTATGCAGAAGTATTTAATCACTACCTGGCATCACTACTACTACTGCACAAGCGCCTGGGGATCAAGGTTGCATCTGCTGACCCAGCTATTGAAAAAAAGCAAACTAATTCACAACCTTTGACCTCTTGTGGTTGCACCGGTTACCTACAGTCTCAATTCCAGCTCTTTTGTTCTTTCTTTAAAATTACTTTTTCTTTTTAATACAGCAAAGCTTTTCTTTTAAAAGGGGGGGGGGTGAATAGTTAAAAATATGCCAACTTGTAAGTGTTGTATTTATATCTAGCCTGCTGTGAAATTATTAACCATACACAATTTAATTACCTTTTACTCTTTTTTTTTTTTTTAACAAAGTATTTAATTTGTCTGGAGTTTAAAAGATCAAGATCACAAAGAACTCTATAACTTGTATAAAAATTCTTTATCAATAAAAAGTAATCCAAAATTCTAGAGGCAAAAAAAAAAAACAAAACAAAAAAAACACCATAGCTAACATAAAAACCGTACATCAACAATCAGTATCCACAACATGACTCACAACATAACCCCACCTGGTACATCCCTGCGACACACTGAACGTCATATTAATGCTGAATATGCAAAGTCACAAACTTAAAAGAATGCCATTTCAAAGATATTAAAGCTTCAAATACAAAAAGTTTCCCACAAAGAAGACAGCCAGTAACCAAACTAATCGCCCTGAAGCTAATGTAGAGAAAAAGCATATGGGAAAAACGTGTTAAAGTGAGGACCTACTGCCAACTAGCACAAGGCAAATGTTCTTTCAGTCTTCTTAAAAAAAAGGAAGAAGATAAAAATAACATAAAAAGGGTATTAACATTTGCTTTATCATTGTAAGCTAACATAACTTTGGATTCACCCCATGTTACCTCACCTCTCTAAGCATTACAAACAAAAGAAAAATGAAACATGTACACTGACACACTGAGCTTTGCCATCTTCTAAGGATTAATAATATTTATTATAGAAAAAAAAAAAAAAAAAAAAAAATCAATGGTGATACATCTACAACGGGGATCGAAAGTAAGGAAAAAGTCCCTACGGCAGATACCATGATCATTTCACTGACCCCTGAACACAATAACCAGGCTGAACTCTTCCTTTACTGGATATCAAAGGCCATAAAATAAAATCATCTATGTATCCAAAACCATTTCCATCATCCGCTGCTCAAAGCCAAAGATTGATCCCCTTTAACTCGTCTGCATGCATGGTAGGTCGGTCGCTGTCTGCATTTAGATACTTGGCTTTGTTTGTGATTTTTTCCTTGTCTCCTTTTCTTTTCTTTTCTTTTTTTTCTTTTTTGTATGTATGTGTGTGCATCAGCTGGGACAATCTGAGGACTGAAACTGCCCATGGGGATGTTAAAGACTTAAGTTAGTGAACATATACAGGGTGGCCTTCCTCAGGCAATTGGGAAACCCTTATGCTCAAGCCCGTTACAGCTACGCAGAAAAATATTTTTAGGAAATCAAGCTATACATTCTGACACAAGCAACGATGCTTTTTGAAATACAGTTGTTAAGGCTAGGAAACTGTTGGTATCCCTGATTTTCCGACTACTTTTGGGTATGTGTGATTTATCTGCATATTGCAAGGCATATTCCATCTCTTATGAGAATAAAATCATCATCTCACAATGAATAAACATGAATTCTGGAACAACTATTAGAGACATGAATCAGAATGAGACAAATTTGAAACCCAAAATACCAACCCTTCCGTAACATAAGGTTCATTATTGAATTTTTCGACACCCCTCCTAATGACACTTTTCTGAAGCTAACAGCTAACCATATCCTTAGAAATTCCAACTCTATAAAATATATGTCAAAAAAGAATGAATTAGGAATAACATGAAATCAGTGCCTCATCAATAAAAATACAAAGTCCTTAAAAAGAACATACTGCATATAAAATAATCACCTTGCTATGACATAAAAGATACCTCTACTACCATCTAATAAATCTGTACTATCATCTAATAAATGAGTAATTCTTGAACAGTATTAGCTTGACACTCACTAAGCCACTACCCTATCACTACTATGGACTTTTAAACTACAATTACTTGATAATGAAAGAAAATTATATTTCAGAGGACATTCATACAATACCCAAGACTAAAATCTACTGTAAAAAAAAAAAGAAAAAAAAAAAAAAAAAAAAAATATGTATGGTATTCAATGTTGCCATAAACTGTTGTAAAAACTTCAACTAACACTTCAATGTACAGTCCACAAAATGATGCACAAGAAAGATCATTTGCAACCTCAACCTCCAACCTCATGGGTAATGAACCTCATCAATACCAATACAGGTTTACAGTAAATATTTACAGGGTATTTAGCACAGGCCAACATAGGCCTACTTTGAAACCTGCATATTCTGTTAACGGACCTCAAATCACCTATCTTGCCAGAATAAAAAGAATAGAGGCTTGTTTTCTTTCACTTGAAAATGCGGCATTAATGGTTTGGAATAAAGCCAGTAGGCCTTCCATTACCAACCACAAAGCCTCGAGTGGAATGCAGCCCACAAAATTACAAGCAAAGAGATCCATTTTCAAGACCACCGTCAGGTGTCACATAGATATTTACTCATTCTAATACAATACAATAATGGATCTTATCATAATATAACAAAGAGAGCTTACGTACTCAAACGAAAGGCAACTGCAGCCTGAACGGTGTCCTGAGATTTCACGAATATCATCACCAATGAGCTAAACTGACCACTGACTTGTCATTTAAGAATATGAACACAACTATGCGTACTGACCTCTGAGTTCTCCATGTTTACTGAAGTCTTGGCAGTATGTCATGAAGATTATCCGCTTCAGGACTCGACACTTCCCTGAAACACAAGAGAGACGAGGTATTACCATCGCTTAATGTTCTGGAGAGATGCCACTGTCCTAATCTCAACAATGGTCTTAATAATGATAAAGGAATAAATCACAAAGAACATGACCGTAGCGTGAAATATGAATGAATAGAATGATCATAAATCAGCACTATAAGGTCTAAAATATAATCTAAGTATATGAAGGTCCATGGACATAAAAGTCATGCAATGCAGTGGCAATGCTTTGCAATACAACAGAAAAAAAAGATAATAATGGTAATAATCATAATAATGATGATGATGATACTAATAATCAAAAGATGATAACAATAATAAATAAACAAACAAGGAGATCAATAATAAAAATAATTATCATAACACAAAAAGGTAAAACAAATTAGGTATCCTACAACCTATATAATGACCATAACACTTGCAGATCTCAAATGTCAATTTATCAACAACCCATTTTCCCTTAATATAAGTGATGGAAGTTTACTGGTACATGATGGATGGCAGCATATCACTTGACATAGTCCTCTTCTTCATAATTACTATCAAAGGTCATCACTGCCTTATCTCAATCATATTACAAAGCAATTAATCATTACTATGGTTTACAGGTCCCAATACCAACAATAATGGATCATGCCGTTCCTCTGAATACTCATAACACTCAATACACCTAAACTGGATACATAAAATACGAAGGAAATTTATTTCACAACTTCTAGAACCATCAAACACAATCAGCATAGGTCTTTACTAGTGCCCGTGAGAATCTGGGTATTCAAGAATAGTCATCTCGCACCAAAGATAGGCCCTATTCCGTGGAATCTGTTCATATTCGACACAAGTCTCTCACTATAAATAAACGCTTTTCCAACTATTTTGTTTATATTCAATGCTATCTCCTAATGACCTCACTTTCCTATCCATTTACTATTGCTGTCCACTATCCACCTCCCCATTTCAACTCTTTGCATGCAGGTAAATGTAGACTACTGTCCACTGTAGTTTCTATGAAATTTGTTTCACACAGATGGATTCCCAAGTCCTCAGCCACTTAATTCGTAGGCCTGAACCGATCTCACCAGGGACGGTATTCTACGAAGGTCATGGAATTTTCTTTGACAAATCTGAGGGGTCCTGAAAATAATCTTTGTATATGACTTGTTTTTAAGACTCTCCTTAGTGATTTTGACTCGCTCTGTTGCCACATTTTGAAGTAAACACATTACTAGTACTAGTATTCAACATCTTCAAAGACCCTGTAACAATGCAGAGTAATAATGAAATCAAAACACAACTGCAGGGAATCTCAAGTATGTAATGACCAAAATATTACCTATTTAACATCTTTTATATGTTTACATGGCACGCTATACATTCGTCGTCATTGCATCAGCTGAGCAGGTGTGCGGCTCCTTTTGCATTTATCTATAAGAAAATGCAGTAAACAAGGAGGAGACATCCCAATTATCATTTGTCATCAAGTAAAAAAAAAGTGTAGGAAAGCTTTTCACATCATTAGTAATGCGAAATTAACTTCAACAACTGTAAAATCGCAGCATTGTTATAAGCATCTCTAAGGACAATTCAAAGACACCTTGTGTGCGTGGAACACCTCGGCTAAGTAAAAGACAAAAATCGGGTGATAAACGAGGATACTTTCTCAAGAATTCATAAACAAAATCTCGGAGTCAATTTCTGTCAAAAACATGTTTCGGAGTCTATGACCTTTTGTGAAACTAACAGATGTCCCCATTCCTTGAATTTTTAGGAAAAATATTTTTTTCTTAATGCTATTAACATTAATACTATTATCATAACTATCATGAATGTTATGATTTTCATAAAATAATAATGCAAAAGAAAAAGATTAAAAAAAAAAAAAAGAAGAAAGAAAAAAGGTAAACAGATTGTACTAATAAACAAATCCTTGATAACAAAGTACTTGAAAAGGCAACTATTTGCAAGCGCAAAAGATCAAAATCACCGTGGACATGGCACAAGCACAAACGGGTTAACATACATATTTGAATAACATGTTTCATTACGTTTCCTACCCACTCCTTGCAGCTGCTCACAGGATGTGGTTCTGATGCAGTTATCAGACGCAACTTGGGATCTTTTGTGTTGCTTTACTTGGCAAACACTATTTTGAACAATTTCCGATGATTCTTAATACCCAAACGAGATTCAAATTATGTATTCTGGTCTTATTATCTATATATCACAATCGTGCATGACCTGGATTACAATAAAGAACATTACACCTTTCAACTATACTATTCTATCGAACATTCAAATGAAATGTTACATTTACAGGACCACAGATAAAGTCAGTCGCTTGTAAAAGTTTAACAGCACTGTCAAACCAAAGAATTATTTCCAGCAAAGAATAACTCCCAGAAAAAAATAATGAAAGAGTTCAAGATCTGTACTTTACAATTCAAAATCTTCGTGAATCGTCCACCAATACATATTTCCTAACAATCATACTGTTGGGTTGTTCCTGTTGTACTGTTGTTCCTTTCATTGATAAGTTTTAAGACATCACCCATATGTTGACCAATAGCCCTCGTATCACAGCCAACAAAAGCTTCAACACACTTCCCGTAAGCTAGAACTCGTCAAACTCGCTCGCAACTTAACGTTATTTGAGGAAGCGGTCTAAGCCCCATCTTGCCGCAATATAAATGGCGGAGGTTTGTTGGCCTTTCTCGAGCAGAAAACAGACAGACACAATGATGCCTTAACAAAACACTCTGAGTATGTCGGACGTCAACCGATTAAAGCTAGTTTCACGTGGAGTTTGATAAAACACCACAAATATAAAAAAGGAATTCCTATACGAATACCTGTGCAAACGTCATTTCAACCTTTCCCATTTCAGACCTCGACACAGAACTCCTAGTCAAAGTATCGCATAAAATTTTGCAAATCCATATTGACATCTATATATCTTTCTTACTTTTATAATACTAGTTCCTTTAACTATATTCATTCTATCAATTAATTGCAATTATTTAAACTAACTTGCTCATCCAATAGGCCTACACTGATATACTATGTGCCGGATATTGGCTTGCATTTTCCAAACCAAAATTAATTTCTCTTTCACATACTTAATCACTTTTTTTTATTATCATTAATTCTTACATAATATAAAGAGAAATCGCACTGATCTCTACCTTACTCTTTCCGCATAAAAAGGCCGGATACATTTCAATGTTACATTCCCTCCGATCCCTTTCGTGTTTCCGTTATTTCACGTCTTAAAAGGAACTTCTATAAATGTCAATGAAAGACAGAAGACATTACTTTCGATGCAATATTATCAGATACGTGTAGTTCCCAAAACCGGAAATTCAAGCTTTATCCGTCTATCTTCTTTTCCTATGAGTTTTATCCATTTATCTTCTCTTCCTAAAATAATCTAAGATAAGGAGCTGATAATAAAATACTTATGAAGAGAAAAACAACAAAAATAAACAAAAAATGGAAGAAAAGGTGAACACAAATGAACGAATTGAAAGTTGAACAAATTATGAACAATGAGAAAACTTAAGATAATGCAGATGGAAAAGGCAACACAATAAACAAGAAAACAAAAAAACAAAGAGGAAAACAAATATATTAAAACCCAACATTAGGAAACTAAACTAAAAAACGAAACAAAAAAATCCAACAAAATTAACAAAATAAAATAATAACAACAACTAAACCCACAACGTCTAAACCAAACAAAAATAGAATAAAAATCAAAACAAAAACAAAAACAAAAAAATAATAAGAATGAACCTCGTAACCCCCGGCCACAGTTGCCAATTCTCGCCACGTGAATAAATAAAAAATAAACAAAACCCTTTCCCTTTTGCTTCATTTCTCCCCTTTTTTCAAATAAATAATCATCGCCCACTAAATTAAGGGAGAAATACACCCATCCCGCCCCTAAAACCGAGCGAAAAAGGCCCCGAAACCCTCAAATAAGCCCGAAAAACACCAAAAATAAGCAGCCATGCCGTCACCTCCCAAACGCACCGCCATACAAGCCGATATTTTCCCTCCCTATTTCCCTCCTCTCTCCCTTCTCCCTTCCTTCCTTACCTATCTGACGCTCTCCCGGTCCATCGCCCTCGTCGCCCGGGGTCCGAGTCCAGCGTCCGGGGGCAGAAAAAGGCCACACGCGAGAAATAAGACCTCGGGCAGCCCTCCTCTCTCTCTCTCTCTCTCTCTCTCTCTCTCCCTCGAAGCTTTATGTTTGGGCGCGCGGATGGCCGTCCCGAACCCACATGTTTTCCGCCGATTGCGAGCCCCACGAACCTCCTCCTGCCTCGGTCGCCGCGTCGCTGCCTCACTCACGCATCCCTCCGAGCGCCGGGAGCCTTGGCCGAGGGCGGAAAGGAGTCAAAAAAGGGAAAAATCGTCACTGAAGAGAGGGAGACGATCTGCGTCTCGAGCGGCGTCAAGGCCATCGATCCACAGTGTTGCCAGACACACGTGGCGGCCGACCCTCGCCGCCGGGGGGCGCACCGCTCTATCTAT